CTGGATTTAGCAGTTTTTAATAGGTGGTCACAGAGGTCTAGTTTTTTAACTGTGTTAAAGAAAGATGGTATAAGTGACGGCCTAAAATGAAAAAAGAGAAATGTACTCATTACTCCCTAAAGAGTGCAGTATGTTCTCTCAGTGCCCTCTTCTGGCTAACACATGTAAATTCTCCATCAGTTGTGATTCTGTAATCCTAGAGTTTGGGTCTTCTAAAACGTAAGCCTTTGGAAATCTCTAATTTGTGTCTATCTAAATTCTCAGATTTCACCCTTGTGCAAACTAATAATTGAGCTGAAAGATTGAGAAATGATTCATCTGGAAGTGATCACCTCATGATTTTCAACTTAGCTGTCCAAAGACTCTGAGAAATAACCACCTGTTTATTATCTAAAGGTCATCATCTCCAGCTTTTCTTCTGTATACATTTTAGGTACAACATGGTGTTCTCTCTCCAGTGTGAGTAGTGGGTAAAGTCAACCACTCCAGAAGCAGGAGGAACAAGTATATTGAGGGAGACCTTAGAGCCAGGAGGCATCATGCTCACGTAATTAGATGTGCTCTGGGAAGCTCCGAGGGTCCTCTTCCCTCTATTTTCTTAGCACTAGGATGGAAGTCGTCCCTGGTCCTCCTTCCTGCTTACTAGAAATTTGAATAGTGTTTTCTTTGGAATGTGGCTCCTGCCATTTCTCTTCCAGAAAAAGAGTAATAATATATGGTCATAATAATAGCTAAACTCACTGATAAATAAGGTGAACAAACTTAATCCCTTCATTCCATAGATAAAGAACTGTGAATCCTAGTGAAGTTCTGGCTCTCCTTATGCCTAAATCAGTGAGGTACCTCATGCCAGGGTGATAAAAATGCCTGCTTTGGGCAGTGCTACCCAGATACTCATTTGCCTTCAAACAAGATGAACAAGGGTGGAACATAGGATTTTGGAAACAGTATCATCTCCTTAAGATCATTCTTAAGCTCAGTGACATCTAAGCCTCAGACATACTTGAACTTTTGATATGAGATTGGTCTGCCTTATGGTATATTCCCTGGGCCCACTTTGCTTGTTTCTTTGAGTCCAGGCCCAGCATGTTTGTACCGTCCTTTGCAGTGCTGAGATGTTGCATTCTTAAACCTTCTTATAGAAGCTTACTATGAAAACAGCTAGAAATAAGGAAATTGCATCCTAGATCCATTCATTAGGTACTCCTCTTAAAGTTGTAAGTTGAAATGAAATTGGTTTAGTTTCCCCATTTTTGCTTTTCTTGTCCCACGTAAAAGCTTAATGTGATAAACTGCAGTAAGCCTTCATCCTCCTGTGTCTTTTCCCATCCTCATTGATCCCTCTACCTTTCTTTAAAAGGTTGCTCAGATGACTCAGGCACTGTTCTCTGCAGAGTTTGATATCTGGGTTTATTTTTCTGATGTGAGCCTCTCTTTTCACTTGCTCTCCAGGTGAGCCTGGCATTTGCTAGGAACCAGAGTGGACCCGGCAAAGTGGCCAGCAACAGAGTCCTGATCCAAATGGAGAAAGGGAACCAGGCGTACCTCAACCTGGAGTGGGAAACTTGATAGGAGGTCAGAAGTACTTCAGCTTTGGATTCTCATTTTCCTTATTTAAGGAACTGAGCACCAGAAGGTAGAGACTGAGAAAGGGAAGAGAGAAAGTATCAAATCTTCAGTGTGTCCTTCAGATTTCAACTGTAGCCTTATTTAGCAAGTCTGGACAGTGAAAAGTAATAGTGGAATTACAAGTTATAAGCAATCACAGAATGACAGGTAGTTTTCCTTGCATGGTACCATTCTTGGAACACTAAAAATATAGTAGTTTAAAACAAAAAAGAGGAAGTAAGAGTTACAGGTACTTTGGCTACTGCTTATTACTTCGAGTGATGTCATTTATTAGATTGTATTCATCATGTTACTGATTTTTTGAGTCTCATGGTTACTTAAATTACTTTTCCTGGCCATTTCTATCATAACTTTATGCAGTAATTTTTGCAACAGGACTTCCACATTTCACAGCTGTCTTTCGTGTCAGATTCTAATATGGGACCCAAGGCTGGAACATTAACAGAAACAACAAAATGATGGCAATACTTAAAAGATATTTTACGTAGTTTGAAATATAACCAGTGTTTTACAAACATACATATTAAACACATTTGAAAGTTGTTTCTTCCAGCACTTTAACAGGGCCTGTACAATGGGGGAAATTTTCTCCTTCCCTCCTCTTTCTTGTTCCTACATATGTGCATATCACACAAATACACAGATGGGCGTAGAAAGTTGTGTAAATATAGCTCAATGATTTCTTACAAGGTAAACATCAAAGCAATCGCTATGTGTGCATGAGAGAGAGAGAATGCATTATTCGTGCACAAATACGATTTTCAGTTACCCTTCTGGTTCTGTGATTGCTCTTTATCCTCCTTGTGTCTGGTACTTTCTGATTTCTCTTCTTATCAAGGGAGGCCTTGAATCTTGATTTCAGAGGTTATCATCACTGTATACTTCTTAATAATAAATGTAATTCTGGTACATTTTCTTTTGCTGAGATTTTCTAATTGCCAATTTTCTCCCACCTATAGCCTGTTTTTCACTTAATTCTCCATTTTTCTATTCATTTTCACTCTATTTTGTTTTGCTTCTCCATTTCATTCTTTTCAGTTAGCATCTGAAATTCCCTCTCATTTCCTGTGAGACTTTTGGTACAAACATCATCAGGCAAATAGAAGTTTGAAGTCTTGCAGCAATTAGTATTCTGATTTCTTCCCATTGTAATTCTTTAACAGTTCTTTACTCAGGTTCCTGTTACTTCGTTTGCATCAAAATCTCATGATAGTCTGTTTTCTCTTTGCTGTAGATTGCTATGTATGCTGATTTTACTCATTCTTTACACTCTGCTTTTTCCCACAGTTTTCATTACTTTGACTTGGTCTCTGTGGTATCTGACAACTCTTTATTAAACTTGGAGCCTGCTGTCTGGTAGGAAGGCTTGCTTTTGCCTTTTGTATTCACATCATCTGTCTCTCTTAATCAGTTTTAACTCTGCTAGTTAGCTTTCCAAAAAGCAGAGGAAACTAGATGAACCGTTCTCTTTTTTTAGCATCCCCTAAATAATCTGGCATATCTCTGGCCCATACCGTTATTTGAAATTTCTTGACCTAGATACCAAAACTCCAAGCAATTGGAAGATTGTTGTCAATGTTACAGGTATGTGTCAGAAGGGAGTAGCTGGACTTCATAAGCGTACTTGAGTAAGAGACTGTAATCTAGTCCTCTTTGAATAGCTGTGTAACATTACTCAAATCATTAGATTGTTGGATCTTTTTTTTATAGTTTCCTCTTTCATAAACTACAAAAGCCAGAATTCTCTGGGATGTTGTGAGAGATACATGAGTATGTGAGTAATGCTCTCATAATACAAAGTACTGAACAAATGCAAAGTTTCAATTCAGACAGATTGAAAAGAGTTGGAGCACTGGTTTCAAGAGTTATTTATTTGTGGAGGTGATATGTGGTGGGATTTTTACTTTGGGATATTCAGATGTTTAGAAGTCTCTTGAACTTCTCTTATAACAAAGTTACGAAAAAGAAAATATTTTCCCTTTAACTGTGATGCTTCTAGTCTGGGCCTCCTGCTTACTACAGTATCATTGTCCAGTTTAGACTACCAAACCATACTGTGTCTCACTTGAGTATGTCATTTTTATAGGTTTCTTGTAATGTCTCCTTTAAGCATGTTCTGCTGTGAGTTTGGTATCGTTCACATGGCTTTGGACTATGCCAATAAGATCATCTTACCTTGTCTTCTGCCTTTCTTTCCCCACCTTATGATTTAGTTTTTCATATGACAGCTGCCTTCTAGTTGACCCAAAAGTTTTAGAAGAGTCACAGTTCCATCTTTCAGTGACTTTTATTGTTCTCCCTTTCAAGGGACATATCACTGATTTTTTTTTTTTAAACATATGTGCTTCTTTAAGGATAAATAGAAGACAGAACAGGAGGAGACAAAAAATTTTAATAAGAACTTTTAAATAAGATTTTAAGAGTTCATTCACTCTTAGATTTTTCCATATCAGGCCAGAGAATCAATTTGCTAAAGAGATGGGCAGATTAGTAAAATGCTGCTTTTTTTTGGCCATAATTTCCTTCATACCTTCTGTTTACCAGTTTACCTAACTTTAAGAATGCTCTTTTAAAAGTCTTAACCTCTGTGTCTTGGTTTGGAGCTTTCTCATTTATCAGAAGCTCTTATGCTCTGAAGTAGCTATTTCTATTGTACATCAGTTAACTCCTTTTGGCCTACTTATTATTTAAAATATCTTTTGCCTTTTACACCCTGCCTATATCTTACACATTTTGCATTAATATCCTCTCCCCATTTCACTTTGCTCATCCTATGGAAATGATTTACTTTTATTTTTTATAAGATAATGTACATGGTTTAATCCAAAAGGTACATAAGGTTTTACAACGAGGAGATTTCCCTTTCACCCCCACCTATCCATGTAGGTAACAAATATTTACAGTTTCTTACAGTATCCTTCCAGAGATATTCTGTATAATAACTAAACAAATCCTATATTCCTTCTTAACCCTTCTAGAAAAAACAGCATGATACTGTCTTAATGTACACTGTTACACTTACTTTCATTCGTATCTTGGGAGATCATTCATGTCAGCATATGAAGCAGTCCCTCATTCCATTCATGGTCTTATGTCAGTTCTACTTTAATCTGAAATTTTAGACATCTTGAATATTCTTCTAGACTGAAGTATTTCTATTGGAATTCTCCATTTAAAATTGATTCAGAAGCCATCTGATAGATTATGTGCAAATAATGATTTCAGATTCTTTTCTTCATGTACAGAAAACCTTATTGTTATAACTAAAAACAAGCTATTAAATGCTAATAAGATAATAAAATTATTTTTATCTTTATAGTTTGAATCAGCTTGGGTACTGACAAATATTGCTTCAGGGAATTCTCTTCAGACGCGGATTGTGATTCAGGCAGGAGCTGTGCCCATCTTCATAGAGTTGCTCAGCTCAGAGTTTGAAGATGTCCAGGAGCAGGTAAAAAAAAATGAAGCAAAGAGAAGCAGGTCAAAGAATATCAGTTTTTCCTTTGGTCTTACATTCAGGGCCTCAGTTTTATCACGTGGCCATGACAAGCCATGGTTCATCACAGGGGGTGTTCTAGAAATCTAAACCAAAATAGAAAATATAGTGAATGTAGGCAGAATTTCTTCCGGAAACATAAAATCCTTTTCCTTCCCCTTCCAATCCTGAAATTTTTGAAGTCCTATATACTCTTTATATTATTATTATTATTATTATTATTATTATTATTATTTTTAAAGATTTTACCTCTAAGTAACCTCTACACCCAGTGGGGTACTCATAACCCAACCAGGATCAAGACTTGCATGCCAGTCCTGAGCCAGCCAGGTACCCAAGCCCTGTATACTTTTCAGACCATGTAAGCAGTTACTGAGCTTTTACTTGTAGAGATCTCTAGTAAGTAGTAGGTCTTTGCCACTTTTATGCAGAAAAAGAATTTTTTATTACTGCAAACTTTATCAAATTTGTAAATATAAATCATTGCTAAATGAGTATGATTTTCTTCTATAGTTTAATTGAGGTATGATTTACATACAAAAAACAGCATATATTTAAAATGTGCCATTTGATAAGCTTTGACATGTATATTACTCATGAAACCATCATCACAGTCAAGGTAATATATTCCTTACCCCCCAAAGTTTAGTAGCTTTCTGCATTTTGATGCTTGTAAGTTCTTTGATTCTTTGTTCATTGTTTTCTTTTGTAAATAAGCTTAGAATACATTTTTATTCCACTGAAAAAGCCATTTGAAAATCTGCTCTGTACCAAGGGCTGTGCTTCCTCAGTAGGGGGCTGGGGCTCCCTGAGGTAAAAAATATGTATAAGAACTGGTTGGTTCCTCCCTTTAAGCTTATACCCTGAGTGTTCACATGTAACTTTATAATATTACTGATCTTCTTCCCCCAATGGCACAACTATTTCATTTGATTCCCTAATAATGAACTTAGAAATGTTAATAGTGTCTATGTGCATGTTGATTAGCTACTATATAATTTTGTAAAGGGTTATTGTGGTATTTTGGCATCTTAGAGAATTGTGTACAACCTGTCATTAATGAGTAATTCTTTCACAGGCAGTCTGGGCTCTTGGCAACATTGCTGGAGATAGTACCATGTGCAGGGACTATGTCTTAGACTGCAATATTCTTCCTCCCCTTTTGCAGTAAGTTTCTATTATTACTGTTTTTTGAATAGTAAAAATATGGAAACTTCCTCAGGAAGCAGTAAGTTTTTGGAAATCATTTTGGATTTTCCACTGTTCTTTTTCATTACAGATATTTTCTTACTAACTTGTTCAGATCATTTCTTCAGACATTCTAGCTTACTCCAGTGTCAGTATTCTGAATTAGTGCTGTTAGAATTAATTCAACTTTATTGTGTGGAGAAAAGCTATTTAAAGATGTGTTTATCAATACCATTAACTGATTTAGTATTTATCTTATGTTATCAGATAATTAATGTCCATTATATAGTTTACCAAGTATCATCATGCTTATAGGTTATTTTCAAAGCAAAACCGCCTGACCATGACTCGGAATGCAGTATGGGCTTTGTCTAATCTCTGTAGAGGGAAAAGTCCACCTCCAGAATTTGCAAAGGTAAGGATTAGGCTTATGGGAAATAGGCAGAAAAAGTACAATTAAAAGAGTGTAGCAATGGATATTAATGTGAACAGAAAGAGATAGTAATTTTTCATAAAATTTAAAATGTAAGAATTTTATCTGTTTCTAGAGAAATAGGGCTTTTTGTTTCTGTGTTAATTTGGAATAAATTTTCATTGGCTGTAAAAAGCTCTGACTTAATCTTAAAACCTAGCATTTTTTGTTTATAGCAAAGTATCTAAAATTCATAATTTCTTAGCTTTAATACCTGTGAAAGTGTCATTAATTTCTTTGGTCCAAAAAGAGTGTTTTTGAACAAGGAATCTCATTCTGAGAATTGGTATATATACTTCTGTCTCTGAAATTATTTTCCTTGGTCTCAGCATTCCCAAAGATGGAAATGCCATTCCCAAAGATGGAAATGCCATTCCCAAAGATGGAAATGCCACTTGGCCTTTTGCTATCCATTTCTAGAAGTATTAAACACCCCAGAAGTTACCAAGTGTGTGCCTGGTTGCCTTTTTTAATTTCTCACCTCACTTCTGGCTTTTATTCCATTGAATTTCATCCTCATTATCATCTTCCCTTTACAGGTTTCCCCCTGTCTGAATGTGCTTTCCTGGTTGCTTTTTGTCAGTGACACTGATGTACTGGCTGATGCCTGCTGGGCCCTCTCATATCTATCTGATGGACCCAATGATAAAATTCAAGCTGTCATTGATGCAGGAGTATGTAGGAGACTTGTGGAGTTGTTGATGTAAGATATCTTAAAGTGTGTATTTTTTTTGTCCCGATGTTTGTTAGTTTTCTAGATGCTGATAAATACTAAGTAATACACTATACTGATTTATTGTGCTTTGGGCTGCTCCATTTTGTTATTTACTTATATTGATGTCAGATCTATTTTACATAAGCCTCTATAAGTTTTGAGGCTTATGTAAAGAACTGCTCACCCTTTTGCTGTGAGCAGTCTTTTAGTGGGAACATTTATAAAACTCTGATCTGTGTAATTCCAGTTAGTGATAAATGACCTGAGACCAACCCCTGGATAGATAGCAAAAGGCATATTGCCACTAAAAGTCATTCCTTATCATTGTCTTATTTAGAGCTTAATCTAGACTGTGAATTTTATTTTGCTATATCTCTTTTTGATGCCTTTGCATAAATAATTTATGGCTGTATTAACCAAATTTTTAAACAATTCTATAGAAGAAAAAAAATTAGACTGATAACATAATGGGGAAATGGCACATTTACTAGCCACATGAAATTTAATTGAAGTAAATACAAAGTAGATGCAAGGAGACATTACCCCAAACATGATATGTGGAATGGATCAGATGAACTTAATGTACAGAATACAAAACTCTGGGAGTATAGCTGACCACAAACTGGGTACGGATGAGCAGCATAATGCTGTTAGGAATTAAAAGGCAGATGAAGCTGCAGGAGGCAGAAGTGCAGTGCTCAAAATCTGGGAAGTAATCTTTTAATTCTTTAGTCACTAGATTATGGATTATGGTATATTTTAACATTTTAGTCATCAGGTCCTAAAATAAATGTGAAGGAACTGGCACAGTTTTGAGAAGACTGATTAGTCTCATTAAATGGAAAAGAAAAGAGAATTTTTAAGGGCAGCTTAAGGATATTAGTTTGAAATTAAAACTTTCAAGAAGCTGTTTTCACATATGTAAAGGGTTTCATGGAGAGTATATTTTTGACTGGTAAGTCAGCTGAGATTTAGTAGAAAAGAGTTCACTCTTTGAAGTGTGAAGCCGGGCTCTCATTTTCAAGTTAGTTCAACTATTGGCATATTTTCAACTCTGAAAATTATAACTTATAAAACTTAAAAGTGCTCTGTCAGTGTTAATTATTGCTGCCCATTATCTCAGCGACCATAAAGACCCAAGTAAAGAGGAAGTGAAAACTATATTACTAAAGAATGAGAGGGAAATCCTGGAATCCAGGTGATGGAATACCTGGCAAAGATTAAGAGAGATTTGTAGTTTTTATCCAAAAGTGCTAAATAAAGGGAAAGATCACTCCTCTAGGGATACCAAATCCATCCTCCTAGGGTTCCCTTACCAACTACTGTAGGTTCCTTTGTGCTCTAATATAATTTCACATTATTTGATTTGGATTTCAGCCCTAAGGAAGAGACTAAGGATAGAACTGTTGGATTAATATTTCTTTTTATGGTTACAGGCATAATGATTATAAAGTGGTGTCTCCTGCTTTGCGGGCTGTGGGAAACATTGTCACAGGTGATGATATTCAGACACAGGTATGACTAGTGGTGACTACTTTTTTCCCTTCAGAAACAGTACATTGAACTCCATGATTATGTTTCTATGATGGTATTCAGCTCCATGTTTTGTTTCATTAATGTTTGTCCAAAAATGATGCCTTAGGCAGCTACTGTAATACCTTTACTGTCTGTATCTTGATCTATTGCTTGTAGCAATTTTGGGTTCCCTTTGGTTACTCAGGCTGATTTCCCACTACTTGAAGTGGTTCTTGGGAGCTTCAGTAGCCTCCAGTAGCATCCTTTCTCTGTCATCTTCATCTCATCTCTGATAGCTTCCTTCTTTTTCCTTCTTTTTGTACTTACTAAATCTCTTATGTAAGGAGAATTTTTCCTTCCTTGTTCTTTTTTTTTTTGAGAAAGAGATAACAAGCAGGGAAGGGCAAAGGGAGAGAGACTCTCAAGTCTCAAGCAGGCTCCATGCTCAGCAATGATGCAGGGCTCAGTCTCATGACCTTGAGACCATGACCTGAGCCAACACCAATATTCAGATGCTCTGCTGACTGTGCCACCCAGGTGCCCTTTCTTTCCTTGTTCCTTTTTTTTTATTAAAAAAATTTTTTTAATGTTTTACTTATTTCTGAGAGAGAGAGAGAGAGACAGTGTGAGCAGGGGAGGGTCAGAGAGAGAGGGAGACACAGAATCTGAAACAGGCTTCAGGCTCTGAGCTGGCTGTTAGCACCGAGCCCGACACAGGACTTGAACCCATGAACCGTGAGATCATGACCTGAGCCGAAGTTGGTTGCTTAACCAACTGAGCCACCCAGTCACTCTTTACCTTGTTCTTAATGTCACTCCCACTCAACTTCTGTATCAAGATATATCATTCACAGTGGCTTGTTTTTGATCTCTCTGATGCATTGGCATTGTCTTTAAAATTCTTTTCCTAATCTTCTATGGTGGTCAATATTTTGGGTCTTCTGCCTGCTGGACCACTTCTTAGCAAGTTCCTATTTCCTGTTCTTTCTTGTTTGTGGAATTATCTCCTGGAGAGGATAATTATTCATTGATTTTATTTATAACTTCAGCTGTCACCCTGGTGCAGCTTGATTGAGAATTGAGAATTAGATTTTAGTCATAACTTATTTAACCAGCTCTGACTTGGGGGAAGAGATTTAATGTCTTCACTTTTCTAATCCCTAAAATTTGGATTTGTACTCAAAGGTGTCTTCCAA